GATGATTGGCTGATTGATGAGGGAATTGCAAAATTAAACCCAAAAAGTGCTATAATGTATTTGAATTATGATGAATGGATGAGGAGGAAGATGTATTGAATGAAAATGATAAGGAGAATGATGGAAATGTTGTGAGAGAGTATCTCAGAGTTCTGGAAGATCGAGATATTTTTCCTTTGCATAGACCAGAGGGTGCTTAAAAAAGTATTTATATTTGTTTTTTTCTTTATTCAACGATATTGTTAAATATTTTTTTGTTTATAAACAAATAAATTTATTTTATAAATTAAAAGAAATTTATTAGTTTAGCGGGGCATTAGGTCTATAACCATAAAAAATTTTTTTTATTTAAATCTTTAAAAGAAATTTTTTTTTGTTTCTCTATATCAAAAATTTTGCCTATTAAAAATTTAGTAATTTTTTTTTAAAACAAATCACCTTTTCTTCTAAAAGGAATGATTGGTTTAGCGGGGCATTAAAACGGTATTTCAATAGTCAAAATTAAAAATTTAATAATTATAAATAAATTGGGTCAGTCCATTATATTTCACCTGAAGCTGTTGCGGCCTATTTTTAAAAAAATCTCATAATTTGTAAAATAATTTTTAATATCCATAAAATTCATTTTTGAGAATTATTTTATAAAATTTTTTGAATTTAACTTAGAATTTTAATTTTTAAGTTGAGTTGCACAGAAAAAAGGTTAGATTGACAGTTATGTAAATTTAATAAAAAAGCATGGAAATAATTTAGATAATACAAATTTCTTGATTGATATTTGTTAAAAATGAGCTAATTTACTTGTATAAATAGATTATTATGTAAACATACTCAAAATAATAGATAAAAATTGAATTTAAAACTTAACTATAAAATGTCAAAAGTCACTACATTGTAATTAAATTTTTCTAAAAAGTGTATAAATATTAAAAAATTTATTACTACTTAATGTAAAGTATTTTCAATGTACTTTCATAATATGTGGTAACTTTTTAATTTTATAATATAGAAATATGAAAAATTTTACCTTTAATATTGAGTGTTTCATGATTTTCATTGATTTTTATTACTTATTTCTTCTCAGGTGCAAGACTAAATAATCCAATTTTTGTCTTAATATTTAAGTTTCAACTTCTTTTCCATTCTATTCAATTTTGGTGATGGAGAACGAGCTACTTTTCATTTTAAATTTAGTTTAGAAAATCTGCTGAAAAAAAGAATTTGTTGGTTAAAATGCAAGTAGATTTTTGCATGACTATTGAGATAGCCAACTTCAGTGTTATAAAATTACCTGAATTTTAATCAACAAATTCGCTTTTGGAAGCAGATTTTTTTAAGATGAATAAAACTACAAAGTAGCTTGTTCTCCACCACCAAAATTTAATAGAATGAAAAAAAAGTTCAAACTTAAATATTAAGACAAAAATTGGATTTTTTAGTCTTGCACCTGAGAAGAAATAAGTAATTAAAATCAATGAAAATCATGAAACACTCAATATTAAAGGTAAAGTTTTTTATATTTCTATATTATAAAATTAAAAAGTTACCACATATTATGAAAGTACATTGAAAATACTTTACATTAAGTAGTAATAAATTTTTTAATATTTATACACTTTTTAGAAAAATTTAATTAAAATGTAGTGACTTTTGACATTTTATAGTTAAGTTTTAAATTCAATTTTTATCTATTTGTCACATGCCACGTGTGTGACCTCTAAGTAACCTTAGACCAGACCTATTACCAAGCAAACTTGACAAACACCCATCGATGAGCAATCTTTTTACAACCCTATTACGTCGATACACGGATGTGATCTGGGTATATAAGGCCCTAAATTTGGATCCAAAAATCAGTATCTAATTTAAATCAAAGCGATCGACATCATCTCTGTACCAGTAGTCAGTGCGAATCTATACTCGTTACCTACGATTATCCCAGTCTAAGTAATACCCATCTCGTGTGAGACCGAGCCGTTGTCAAATCTCCAAGCAGTAAAATTGGAAAGGCGGTGCATCTGAACTGACTGTGGACGCACGAGCGGAAAACGGGTTTTCAGCTTCACAAAGAAGCAATAAAGGTTTTATTGGAAAAGGAACTGGTGTTCTCTCGGCAACATACAAATAACGAACTTCAAGAAATCATTATATACAATTTTATAATAAATTTCATTTTTACTAATTCTTAACTTTTATTCATTGATTCTTTTTTCCTCATTCCCAAATAAGATTTCTTCGGAATTTCTTATTTAAAACAAGGATAACAAATGTTAAGAGGTAAGTTACTTTTCACGTAACATACCCTCTTTTCTTGGTGCATCGGCCGGGAAAGCCATAAAGAATCAATGATATTATTTTTTCTAATTCTTATTTTTTCCAAAAATTTATTTTGAGATATAAAAAATATACATGTTTTTAACAATTCTAAAATTTTCTATTAAAATTTGAAACATTTAAAATCAATTTTTAACTCTTATTTTTAACAATTCTAAAATTTAATAAAAAATTGAAACACAAACCGAGAGAGAATCAATTCCAATGATTAAATCATTTCTTTTAAAAATTAATGTCTACTTCTAAGGAAAATATTACACAAGATAAACATACAACTCGATCAAAAATCAAAGAAAACCCTACTTTAAAACTTAACCCAGGAATTCCCTATTTTAAACCTTTAGCTACTGGTACACCTAGATACTCTAACGAAAATCCAAACCCTTTTTGCAAATCCGAATTAGATTCAGGAATTTGTCATTCATTATTTGATAACAATTCTTTCAATACTGACGAAGAAAGTGACAATACAATTTTAGAAAATAACGGTTCTTTAAATTCTACATTACGAAATAGTTTTAAACAAAGACTCGAAAATTCCATAATTAGCACACACGACAGTGACGACGAAAACAGTCACGACGAGAACAGTAATAGTGAAAATTTAACAGAAAATAACGAAATGGCTCTACCAATAAACCAACAAGTATCATTACGCGACGCTTTAGAAATAGTTCCTTTGTTCGACGGGACTAACATTCCAATCTCATATTTTATTGAAGGATGTTTAGAAGCAGAGCAAATGCTTCCGGAAGGAGTAGCTCGAAATAATTTAGCAAAATTATTAAGATCGAAATTAAGTGGGGATGCGCGAAAATGTATTTACGGAACTCAAATAGCAAATTTAGGCGAATTAATAAATAAATTAAAACGCGTATATTTGCCAGTTAAAACAGTGTACCAATTACAGGGAGAATTAGGAAATATATATATGTGGGAAAAGGAAAATATTACTTCTTATGCTGCGCGAATAAAAGAAATTGCTGATAAAATTGAAGATGTTCACAGGTTAGGTAATAACAATGCAGTTGACGATGTTTTTAAGGAAAATCTAGAAAAAGACGTGAAGCATTGCTTTGTGCGCGGATTAAGACCCGAAATAGAAATTCGTATGAAAGAAAAACCCACATTCCGAGAGATAGTAAACGACGCGATTGATATAGAAAGGAATTTAAGTGCTAGTTCAGATCTTCGAAAAAGCAAAATTAATGAGGATCATAAAGCTATAAAAATACACTCCTTACAAGATTCTGATTTACCTTGTTCAATTTGTAAGAGACGAAATCATAAAACAGAAAACTGTTTCTTTTCAAAACAACAAAATAAAACATACAGTCCACCAAGACAAACACAAGGATTTTCAAAACCCTATTTTAATAATCAAAATTTCTCAAAAAATAGAAATCCCTTTAACAATGGTAACAATTTTTACAGAAATAAAAATAATAACTCTAACAATTTTATGAATAAACTTTCTAGAAACTTTCAAACTTCACGATACAATAACAATAACGATTATAATAACAATAATAATTATAATAATAAAAACTATAATAATAATAATAATCAGAGATTTTTCAAAAAAGATATAACTTGCAATTATTGTAAAAAATCAGGTCATTATATTAATGAATGTAAAATTAGACCTCCTAGAAGAGAAGAATCATACAACAAACAACAATATTCTAAACAACAATCACAATCTCAATCACACCATATTCAAAAATCACAAGAACTACAACCTCATTTTTCGGGAAACTTGAATTCAACCCCCAGCAAGGGTGGACTGAGGGTAGAATAAATTTAAAAACACCCGTTTCAAAAGAACAAATTACTTTAAACAATTCGCAAACAAATACAATTCCCTCAATTATTATCTCTGCCGACGGTTTAAAATTTCCAGCTCGAATGATGATAGATACTGGAGCTGGAAGAAATTTATTAAAATTAAAAGCAATTGATCCAAGAATTCCAATTGACACAGAAAATATTTTAAAATTAATCGGAATAAATGATTTACCTCTTTACACTTCAGGGCAAATAAAATTAAATATTTTTGGTCATCAAACAATATTTAATATTATCCCAGATGCAGTCCCAGTAGACGAAGACGGTGTTTTAGGGACAGAATTTTTTCGAGACAATAACGTAAACATTAATTACACTTCAAAATGTTTAGAGATAGATAATAATCTTTATCCTTTTGTTTCCACAAAAATTTTAACAATACCAGCACGAACGATAATAACAACTACAGTTTTTATTGACGATACTAATAAAAATGAAGGTTACATACCAAGATTGAATTTAGGTTCAGGAATTTATGCCGGAGACGCAGTAGTAAAAAATTACGACAATGAAACATTTTTAAAATTTGCAAACACTAATGAAACTTCAGTAACTATTTCAATTCCTACAATCAAATTAGAAGAGTTTGAAGAAATCAACCCTTATACATCTATCACACAAACTCAAAAATTTGATAACAATGACATGACTAATAATTTACTAAATAATTTTTTAATATCAGAAAATTTTTGTACTTTTAATAAAATGACAATTGAAGACAGAATAGAAGAAATAAAACGACTTCTTCGTTTAGACCATTTAAACCAAGACGAATACGATCATGTACTCTTATAAAAAATAACGCTGACAGATTTCAAATGCCTGGAGAACCTTTAGAAGCAACTAATATTTTAAGACATTCAATACCAACTACAGATGACTGCCCAATATTTTCAAGACAATACCGTTTTCCTCAAATTCACAAAGACGAAATAACTAAACAAGTAAATGAACTTTTAAAAAATAAAATAATTAAACCTTCTCAATCACCTTATAACACACCGGTATGGATCGTACCTAAAAAACCTGACTCAAGCGGAAATTTAAAATGGCGAATGGTATTAGATTTTCGAAAACTAAACGAAAAAACTATAGGTGACTCATATCCATTACCTCATATAAATGATATACTTGACTCAATTTCTTCCGCAAAATACTTTTCTGTTTTCGACCTAGCAACCGGATTTCATCATATAAGAATGAATCCCAATGACTCACACAAGACAGCTTTTTCAACACCTCATGGTCATTATGAATTTGATAGAATGCCATTTGGTTTAAAAACAGCACCCGCGACATTCCAAAGACTTATGGACTTAACATTAACTGGACTAATTGGAACAGTACTTTTTGTTTACCTTGATGACATTGTTATTTACGCAGACACACTCGAAGAACATGAAAGAAAATTTAATAATTTAGCTGAACGACTTAGAAACGCAAATCTTCATTTACAACCAGACAAATGCGAATTCTTACGACCGGAAGTAGGATATTTAGGACACATTATTGATAAAAATGGTGTTCGACCCGATCCAAGGAAAATTATTGCGGTTAAAAATTTTCCTATACCGAAAACAACAAAGAACATTAAACAATTTTTAGGATTAGCAGGATATTATAGAAGATTTATTGAAAATTTTTCTAAAATTGCACATCCACTAAACCAACTTTTAAAAAAGGATACACCTTTTATTTGGTCAGACAAACAACAATTAGCTTTTGACACATTAAAACAACATTTATGCGAAGAACCTCTTTTACAAAGACCAGATTTTTCCCAACCCTTCGTGCTTACAACAGACGCATCAGGTTACGCGATTGGAGGAATACTTTCACAAGGGAAAATAGGAAAAGACAAGCCTATTGCATATGCATCTCGAAGCTTAAGCGATACGGAAAAGAAATATGACACTTACGAGAAGGAAGCATTAGCTATTATTTTTTGCGTATCTCATTTTCGACCATATTTATACGGTAGAAAATTTACTTTAGTAACTGATCATAAACCATTAGTATGGTTTCAAAATTCGAAGGATCCTTGTTCACGTGTTTCGCGTTGGAGATTGAAATTAGCAGAATATAACTATGAAGTAGTGTACAAGGCAGGTAAAATGAACGTGAATGCAGACGCTCTTTCAAGAAATCCAATTCCTAACGAAGAAGAATTATTTAGAAATCAAAAGGTGCTCGACGATGATACATTTTTAACATTCAAGGATAATAAAAAATCAAGTGAAAATATTCACGACAGTAATAATACATCTACATTATTACTCTTATTAACTACTCTTCTTAACCCAATACTTAGTGATTACATTACAAACACACAATGGAAAACCATTCTCACTAGGGCACAACGAAAATTAGAAGAAACGGGAATTCAAGAAAAACTTACGGAAAACGTAGAAAAAATATTGCAGCCCATTATCAAGAGGTCAAGAGGTCGTCCTAAAAAATTAAAAAATAAACTTCCCATACAAGAAGACAAGGTTGGTACCAAAAGAAGAGGAAGGCCGAGGAAAGACAAGAAGCCAATCTCAGAAGCTGAAGAAGAAACTGATCCAGAATACTTCGATGAATTAAGAAGAAATAAACGACTTAAAAAGACAAAGGGGAAGAAGAAAAACAAAATCGTAATTCAAGAAAAACCAAATGAAGACAATGAAACTTACTTTTTATCCACAGAAGATGATAGTTCAGAAGAAGATGACGACATATTCGAAGAATCCCTCGATGAAGAATTTTATGAAGAAGAAAATGAAATCTTTCAAGACGCCATGGATAACGAAGAAATTTTTGAAGAAAAAGATAAAATACAAGAAATTGAAATTGAAGAAAATAACAAAGACAAAGGGCGTAATCTAAGAAGAAAAGAAGAAATTACTCAAGCACCTCCTGTTCAAGAAAAACAATCTACGAGTAATAAAATTTTGATAGAATGTCGTGACCAATTAACAATGCAAAAAGACAATTATTTATATTTTGTAAGTACTAACGGTACCCCTCTCGACAATGGATCTAAAAGTTTAACAAAAAAATCAATTCTACCCAAATTTAATAATTTACAAAAGGGTTTAGTAAAAGAATTTAAAAAGGGAAAATATTATCATTTTGCACTTCCAATTCAAGAAAATGTCAAAGAAAACTTAACTGATACTCTAAATACAATCAAATCATGTTTTAACTCTTTACTTTCAATTAGTGATAAACTAAACATTCGCAGTATTAGTATAGCAAAAACATCTCAAATTAATCACATTCCTTGGGAAGATATTAAAATTTTAATTCAAGATATTTTTTCAAAATCTAAAACAAAATTTATAATTTGTAATGGGATTACGCAATACCCTAATAAAGAAATTAGACAACAGATATTAGAAGAAAATCATTCATCGGCAATCGGAGGCCATAAGGGAGTAACAAAAACTTTAGCTAGAATTCGTCAAAAATATTATTGGGAAAATTTAAAAATAGATATTCAAAAATACATAAACGGATGTTTACAATGTCAATTAAAGAAATTAGTTCGCGTAAAAACTAAAAATCCAATGATTATCACAGACACACCTACAACTGCTTTTGAAAAAATTTCTATGGATATTGTAGGACCTTTTAACCCTCCAACTAAATCTGGCAACACGTACATTTTAACAATTCAAGATAACTTTACAAAATACTCTTTAGCAATCCCTTTACCTAATCATCAAGCTGCTACAATAGCAGACGCATTCGTGAAAAAATTCATTTGCATATTCGGTTCACCTAAAGGCGTACTAACAGACCAGGGAAGAGACTTTTTAAGCAATTTATTAAAAAGATTAGCAAAACGTTTTAGAATTAAACAATTTCGTACAACAGCTTTTCACCCTCAATCTAATGGGTCACTCGAACGTTCGCATCATGTTTTAGCAGAATACTTAAAACAATTTATTGAGAAAAATTCTGAATGGGACGATTGGTTAGAATTAGCAATGTTTTCTTACAATACTAGCATACACGAAGGAACAAAATGCACACCATACGAACTTGTCTTTGGAAAATTAGCTCGTGAACCCTCTAGCGAATCTCCTTCTCAAAACGAAAAATTACAAACATACGATGAATATTTAACTACCTTTGTTACACAATTACACGAAATGAGAGCACAAGCAAGGGAAAATTTAATTTCGGCAAAGGAAAAATCGAAATTTTATCATGATAGAAAAATTAATCCCCTAGAAATAAAAAATGGCGACTTTGTATTTTTATTAAACGGAGGAAAAATTAAAAAACTAGAAAACCAATACTCAGGTCCTTATGAAATTTTAGAAATATTAGGAAAAGGTAATGTAAAAATTAACTTTAAAGGAAAACCTTTAATAGTCCATATTAATAGATTAAAGAAATCAAAAATTAATTCTGAGCCTAACAATTGACGTACGAAAATATTTTTTTACAGACAAAATTATATGTAATAAAAGGAAAACAATACTGATGACTTATGTAACACTAAAGGCAGATGAATTTAAGGGAGGACTTTTAGACTTCTATCTACTTCCAAGTACAACAAAGAACTTCATATTTGCAGAAGATTTGAATTGTAATTTCTGGAGATATGCTAATAACATCGTATTTTTTTTAAATGAAGAGCCCATAGTATCAATCGGAAGAAAAAGGGCCAAAATAGAAGGAAAAAATTTTAATTTCGAGGTAATACTTTCCGACAGTACACTATTTCTTACGGGAATATTAGGTTCAGGGGCAATTTCATATCTAAATTTAGGCAAATTTTACAACCATAATGAGTACATTTATAAGTGCATTTCGCCCGTGTGTGAATTATAAACCAAGAGAACTTCGACAACTCGAATTCCCCTTCATGATAAAGAGAATATTACAAACCCTTGAAAATCCAATGAGAAACCCACAAACGCTATCAAACCTCGCGTACAATGCAATATTAAATGATTGCTTATACATTTCCAACACAATTGAAAATGACAGAACCCAAGAACGAACAATGATAGTCTTCGACGAAAATGACCACGAAATCAAGGGAAGTATAACAGTAGAAACACCACAGGGACGAAGAAAAATTTTTCTTTTAAAATCTGGAATGGTATGTTTGTACCCAGGATTATTTTCATACCTTAAGGCACTACGTTTAATTAAAACTGACAACATTTTTTATAACTTTACAATATATTACGTGTTAAGTACTAGAGCAAGAGTAATGAAACAAGACCTCAATTCTGGATTTTATGACTCACTATATTATATAATAAACCACATGAATTGCTGTAAACGACCATTTAAATTTCTCCCAGACGGAAAATGTATGTATGTAACAATACCAATGGGACCAACAAAGCTTCCCCAACGGAACCCTATCACAAAATCAACCTTAATAGAATTAATCAACTTTCATGCAGAACCAATAAGAGTTAGATATACAAGCAGTCTATGTTACTGTTATGACTTTCCACCACTATATAAGGAGGCTGAAGAATCCCAATACCAATTGATAAACTTAATATACCCATGGACTAATTACGATACGTATAAAAACGTGGACATTTGCATTACGGACAACGAACATGATTGGCACAACAGTGTTGTATATAACTTATTTGAGACACAGTTCCAACGTAAACTTATTATAGGCGGTGAAGATAGAACTATCAATTATTATAAAAAGGCATTTTGTACAATTGACAATGATACCAACGAACAATAAATTCTTCTTTAACATATATATTATAATTTACTTATTTTCCCAATTTATAATTAACCGGAACCATTTTCTTACAGAAATGGAATTCCGAGGATTAGTTTGGTTAATATTAGTATCAATCTATTCACCAACTGTTTTTGGCATCGTCGGATATGATTGTGGAGCGGCCCAATCTAATATAACAACATTATCGTTATTAAAGGTAGGAGATTGCGATCTACCCATACCTAAACTAAAAATAGATCAGATTCACATACAACTTTTACAATTAAGTGAATTTACACACACAGATATAATCCAATGCAAGGTGGAAGTTCTTAGAACTATACACTATTGTGGAATGTTTTCACACATTTCAGCTGTAACAAACGGTCTTAGTTCATACCTCCAAGAAATATCAAAAGATCAGTGTGAAACATTACACGCCACAGGAGCCATTTCAATCAACCCTAATCTCCAAATAACACAAATAGCAAGAAACGGAACGACACAACGTAGTGTAACACTAGCAGGGGGAATAAAAAATGACGGTGGTTGTTCAGGTACACAATATTCAGATTCCTATGGAACATGGGAAAACGTAGTAGTTCAAGCCGCGTTTACAATAACATTACAAAAATACGAAGCGTCAATAAGCCTTAATTCAGATAAAATACATTTAAATTCAGGTACAGTTTGTCCTTTTTCACAAGGTAAATGCACAGATATAGAAGGAGGACAAACATTTTGGAACACATTACCCGATGACATGTGTGACACTAAAAAATACGGAGTTCTTTACGAAGGTCCAGCAAATAAAACCTTCGATCAATCAACTAAAAATTCTGAAACAATTTATTCACTAACAACAGAAGAAATAGTATTTTCCCTAACCGAAAAAAGTAAAACACCTGTTTGCGGATACATGTTTACACAAACAGAACACCCAAAACTTTTAATTTTAGAAACAACACCCACAAATACATTTATAAAAAGAGAAAAATTAAAAGTACAAAACATGGATATATTCACATATGTAAATTCAAAATTTGTATACACAGAAAGACACACAAGAAAAGAAATGAAAAATCTTTATCATGACATTCTTCAACACAAATGCAAATTAGAACAAAAGGTACTAACAAATTCTTTAGCTTTAGCAACACAAGCTCCAGATGAATTCGCGTTTCATCTAATGAAAGAACCAGGTCACATGGCTGTAATCGCTGGAGAAGTAGTTCATATTGTAAAATGCGTCCCAATAGATGTGAAAATAAGAAAAACAAAAAATTGCTACCAACAACTTCCAGTAACTTGGAAAAACGAATCATATTTCCTATCACCTAGAACCCATCTCTTATTATCTAAAGGAACACAAACACATTGTAACACCTTCCTACCCCAAATGTACCTTTTAGGTGATTCATGGTATAAACTATTCCCTTCACCAACAAAAACAAGAGAACCTCATATAATGAAACCAGAAACAAAAGAAACCTGGGAATACACGAACCCAGCATCATTAGCAACAGCAGGTATTTATTCCCAAAGTGATATTGATAAACTAAGGTACCATATTATGTTTCCAGCTGAGAAACCTATGATTTTAAATACAATAGCTAGAGGAATAGTGGGAGAACCTATAAATAAAAAGGGAATATCTTTAATAAATTTCCTTGACGACGAAACTTTAGATAAAATTGCAAAATCAGCGTGGGGTAGATTTTGGGTCATTTTCTCTAATTTTGGAAATACTAGCGCGGGTTTAATCGGAATATTTATAATAATAAGGGGAATAAAACTAATAGCGGATACAATTATACACGGTTACGCATTACATAACTTATTCGGATGGTCTATTCATCTTATAGGTGCCCTCTGGGACTCAGTAACGAATCTCCTATTACATTTGGCATCACAGAAGGCACAAGAAGAAAAAATCGTAAAATTACAAGAATCAAAAACAACAGAAACCGTAAACCAATCGGAGGAAAAAATTCCTTTTAAAGAAATAAATCAAGGTAACGAAGAAAATATTACAATTAACAACACGTGCCCATACTCACAATTAAACCAAAAACTAACAAATCACTATACAGTAAACATTTAAAATGGCATACATAGATTACAAAAAACTTGTAGACCAATATGCACACACACAAAATATTCCTCCCGTACAATACAAAGAAACAATGACTCTTGACAGGAACAACGAATATCAATTTTTTACAGAAATATTCTATAATCAAATTCAAGTAAATTGCTTAGGTAAAAATGAGTTTAGAACTAGAGACAGTGCTGCTCGCGCTTTATACGAAATACTTACTAATGACTTACCAGAAAGTCCATACCCTGTTAAACAATTAGAGTTATTTCACCAATGTATTAATGAAAACATTCCTGTCCCTTTTTATATGATAACAACATTACAAACAAAACCTAAAACTTGGATAGTAACCTGCAAGGTTAATGATATAACAGAAGTAGGAATCTCAAATGATGAAAAAACCTCAAAAAATATAGCAGCCTCTAAGGTAATAAAATCACTAGATCGAGCTAGATCTCTGGAAAATCTTGATGCTTTCTTACGAAATTTGCAAATATCTTCCATGAGCTCAGCCTCACCTAACCCCTCTACCTCATCTATGCCCTCTACCTCATCTAAACAAAAAACAAAAAAAAACAAAATCGCGAAGAAAAACCCCCCAAAATAAAATATAAATATACATATATATATATATAAAAAAAAAAAAAATAAAAAAAAAAAAAAAAAAAAATTTCTAAATAAATTTTTTTTTATTAAAAACAGGGGAATGGAAAACGCTTATGCAGAACCACTCAACGACCAAAAGGTTAGAAAAACAAGAAAAAACACATTAGAAATATTAAACCACATGAAAATTTTACAGGACTTTACAATAAGATATGGTCTTCCACCACCCCAAAAATACTCATACGAAAATAAATATTATAATACAAAACAATTTTTTGCAACCCAACTTGTATTATTAGAACATATGGTAATCCAAACAGCAGAATCAAAAGAACTATCAGAAAATAAGGCAGCGCTAAATTTATTAAAATTATTAATGAGACATTACGACTTATGCGATGACGATTATTATACTTACCCGAGTGCAAGTAAGAAAAAAGACCAAGAAGTACAAACTGACCCAAGACCAAAACTAGTAGAATGGCAAAATTCTTGTAAATTTTGTAAAACTATTTCCCATAAAACATCAGAATGTAGAAAAAACAAAAAGAGAATAGTAAAAAACCAAAACAAAAGTACTCAAACCCCAAATAAAACATTTTCTCTTTTTCCTAGCTTTCTTAAAACCAAAACTAGACCAAAATCATTACCATTATGAAAAAGTAACAACTATCTAATACTTTTTTTTTCTTGTTACAGATCTGAGAAGCGCTATGTATATTCTACTTTCAACAGGAGTACTAATCATATATTTTTTCAATTTTATTCAAACCCTATTTAGCAATATCCCTTTTTCTCATCTCGGAGGAATGTATTTCGAAAACGATATCCAATTCCAAGTAATCTCTGATAAATTCAACTTCATATCATTTTTTGAGATTAATAAATTATATGAAACCCAAGCTAAGATAATTGACACTTATGAAAATTCACTAATACCCTGTTCAAATTGCAAATATGCCCATAATAAACAATTAGAATTTTATACAAACATGAAAATCATAAACAAA